AATGTAATTTTATATGGTTAAAACCATCTAGCTTATGTGCACTTTTTAAAACACTGCCCAGCAAACATTCGGACGTTTAATGACAGTTGAACGGTCACAACTGTAAAATACCTGAAATTAAGAAAAATTAACATGACATCTACTGCATTTTCCTTGCCCGGCCTCGAACCTGGATCCTCCGGGGCGAGAGTCACCCGCTCTTCCAACTGAGCTATGCCAGCGACTACTTGACTAGCAGACTTTTTTATATAGATAGGTAGAGGGTAAAGTGCGGGGTACACTAACCAATCAGAGGACAGAGAAGATCTGCCACAGGCCACGCCTCCAGAGTGCCAAAACCCTTACAGCCGAGCGAGCAGGAGTCAGAAACCGAGCGCGCAGAGAGGCTGCCGAGCGCGCACAGAGGCTGCCGCGCGCGCACGTTTTCCTCTGCCGTGTGCTCGTTGACAACGCGCGCACGCAGGTTTGTCACTTGTGCACATCCTTGTGCGCTCACAGACACAGTTTGCTCCCTCTCAGTGCACAAATGACCTCTCGCCATGTATATTTCCGCTCGCGAGTCCCGTTCACACGCGCGCTGTGGACCCAATGCGCGTGCACGGGTTGTGGCACGCTTTAAACGCCATAGACTCCGTGATCTTCTTTAGGGTTCTGCGGACTGAGGGCCGCTAAGCTGGTGTTGTTCTTTTATTTTCTTAGCATGAAGGTGTTTCATTTTTCTTAGGACAGTTAAACGTAACCTCAGTCTCTGTTGCCATGGTGATGAAGCTAGATTTGTCATCTCTGTAGCAGAAATCGTGATTTGTCCTACGAGAACCAGCTGATCAGATGTGTCTCTCTGTGGGACCAGCGGACCTACCAGAATCACGGTCCTACGGAGTCAGTTCCGACAGCTGAAGGTGGTCCAATCCAGCCCATGAACTCACACCTGATCCTGTGGACATTATGAAGATTCATGAGCTTCCATTAAAGTTATCAGAGGGAGAGGAATCCAATAAAAGGTTGACCTAATGAGATGGATGAACTATTCCCAGCCTCCTGGACCGATGCGCTCTGTGGTTCCCGACCAGCTCAGAACCGACAGCAGGACGGGCTTTTCTGGATCGACAGCAGGTTTACATTTTGGGACAGTTAAATAAATAATTTACTGCTCTGGCTGTCTGAGAGCGCTGCTGTCAGCACTGTGGAGCTACTTTGAAGCTTCTTATCAACACATGCAGCCTCACCGTGTAAATGATGGAGCGGGGGGGGGAGGAAGCCTCAGCGATGGGGGAGATAGGGGATGATTTGTGAGACAGGCAGCTGGTGGAGAGGGAGGCAGCGGAGCAGAAACTCTGAACAAAGTTTGGCATGTTTATTCATTCAAGTCAGCGTGTGTGTTTCTGTTTAGGGCTGAGAGTGAAGGGAGATAATGAGGTAATGGTGCTCGCTGGAGTGTGACGGAGCGACGGCGGATATGAAGAGGGAGACAAACGATGGAGGACAAAAGCCACTAATTGAGAGTTGCCATTTACAGATGTATACCCATCAGATCTGGGCTGAGGGTGTGGGGGGTGATCGATTCAGACGTCTTCTTGAGGAGCAGAAAACCATCTGAGTCATGTTTGCTGTGTGAAGATGTTAATGACCACTGTAGCGCTGGTGATGGATTTATCGGTCGTCCCATTAGACGATGGAGTCCTGAGCTTCGTTTAAAAACCACTAACTGGCTTCAGGTCCCTCCTGGTCCACAGCGTGCATGTGTACGTGTCTCGGTTGTTTCTCTGTGATTGACTGGTCCAGGTGTCGTCTCTCACCTGATGACTTTTGGAGACAGACAGCAGCTCCCTCAGACCCTGCAAAGATATTGTTTATGTTTGGTTCCAGTCCTGATAATTCCGTCTCAGGTGAAACCACAGACACTAATTAGACTTTTCTCTGACATTTATGGGAGGCAGAAGCAACAGACTGCTGCTGTGACCGAAGGACTCAGACGTTTCTGAGTCTCATTTTTAACGGCACAGGAAACAGAACGTGAAGATGACATCATCCTGTTTGTTGTGTTCTTCTCTAGCACCTCTCCGGGTCCCTGCCCTAAAAGTGCATCAAACTCTGACCTACAAATGCTCCGTCACTCCTTCCAGAGTCATTTATTTAATGATGCCACTGAAAATTCAAGCAGGCTCTGGAAGAAAATTGAAAGGGTGTAATGGGTTTCTCAAGGACACTGGAGCAGTTTGTGAGAATAAACGAGCAGCTCCCATTTTTGGTGACGTGCCAAAGCGCCTCCGGATGAATCCACCGCTACCCTGGACCCGGGGCTCAGCTCCGTGTGCCGCGGTGCATCAGGATTCATTCAATTCTGATGGAATGCGTCGCCCAGGATGTGACTGCTGCTGTTTGTGCCTTGAGCTTCAGATTTACAGTTCATCTTATGCAGGTAACACGTTTCATCACTCAGATTCATGTGGATGGAAACGTCTTTCTGAACTGATGGGCTGATCAGTTTTAGCAGGTTTCACTCGTTCTGCACCGAGAGTTGGAAGGCTGGTTTACAGCTGCTGCACATCTGGACTCTGATTCATCTCGTGTTAAGTTTGGTTGCAGAACTCCGCTGAAGTCTGAGGATGAATGCCACCGATGTTTTGTTTCTTATCCATGGAGGCAGGAACGTCCTCACACACACCTCTGTACCTGGGAGGGCTTTTGGTCACATGGTTAAGGTGACCATCGCTCGTTCGGACCAGATTCACTCACACCCTGAAAGCACTCAGCAGCACAGAGACAGTTTAAAGCTTGGAACTCTGAGTTTATGAATGTAGGATCTAGAACGGCACCATGTAGGTAAAAATTAATATTGTGTTATTATTCAAACCGTATGATATAAAAACTGCAGGAATTAACAACAGAGGACTTGAATAGCATCTATGCAGTCATGCTGCTCTCCTGCCATGTTGATCATTAACCAGTTTCATTTAACGCAGGTGATAAACCACCTTCTTCTGGTTAAAATCACATCTGTAGACACAGTTAACTCTTGTTAAGCCACTCAGAAATGCAGGATAACTCCGAGTTTGAAACCTCGTGTCGTTGACAGAATAAAGCCGTCATGAGGGTCCAACTGATGTCCTCCAATGAGTCTGGCTTCTGCAATCCAACATGATCCACTGGTGTTTTCATCCTAAGCTCGGTTAGCACCCTCAAGCTAGCCTCAGACCTTTGGTTTACATCCTGGTCCAGCAGGTGAAGGGTCAGGAAGCAACATCAGATCAGAACAGAGTCTGACATCGCAACAGGACCTACGACGGGACGACCCAACACGCTACTCTGCCGGCGCTCACACGTGACATCGTGCTGCTCTAAAATAAATCAAACTGAATCTCTGCACTTGTCCAAGCGCCTCTGAGCACAACGATTAAGACACAGAAACGCGCGTTCAGCAGCTGCCAGCCTCACGAGGTAGATGAGCAGCTGTGAAACTTTAGAGGGACTTCCTGTCTGTAAATCATCCAAACGTGATGCCTCCAGAGTGGAATGACCCCCACATCTACACCGTCTCAGTCCTGCGTCCTCCTTCCCCTCACATTTAATAAAGACTAATGTGTTTGTCGACATCGGCCCTCTCTCATTACGGTGATGAATTGCCTCCTTGCTTTTGGTAAACAGCGTGAGCTGTATTCCAATTTATTCAGGGAAATTAACCAATCATAATTAAACACTGATCCGGTTCCCTCACCTCTCCACGTACAAGGCCTTTGTGCACGCGGGGTAAACGCGCTCTGATGAATTCTTCCTGCTTTCCTGTCGTTAGCGGGATGATGTCAGCATCACCAGCCAGCGTCCACGAGGAGACAGCCGTCCGTGTAATGGTCACTTTCATCCGGCTCCGTCTGAAGCCGACCTCAGAGATCCCGTCTGTCCTTGCTGCAAAGTCAGACTTTATAGTATTTGGGTCAGCTGTTGTGGAAGCAAATAAACAATCAATACGATCGACCTTGCCTGGAGCCTCAGTGGCTCGGAGGACGAAGACACTGGTCTGGGGTCTGGATGTGTAGGGGGACAGTCGGGTCCTGAAGACAACAGAGTTGGGATCTGAGACAGACGGGGTCCAACTAGACCAGCTGCCATCATCCACCCAGTTTCACAATTGGTGTTCTCATCGTCGGTCCAGACTCGACGGAGGAAACAAAGAGTCAGCAGAAGCGTTTCACATCTAAATTCACCTCTTTTCTCCAACATCGGCGGTTTTTTCCACGATGGCATCGAAACCAGGCACAAAGCTGCGTCGTTGGTTTCAGACCTTAAATGAACTTTCGCTGAGAGCTTCTCTTCCTCAGAGAGAATTTCACACCAACACGCAAATTACCACTCAATCCCTCCAACTCCACCACAGAGGAAAATGCGCCACCTGTTGAATCAGAAAAGGTTTATTTTGGTCTAAAGTTTGATTAAAGCTCCTCCAGCTTGGCCAGAAGGACTTCTGCTGCACAGATGGAGACGTTAAAGCTTCATAAACGAACACACGGTTCCTGGTGTTTGGAAAATTAAACAGAAAAGGTGAAAATCCCAAGTCCCAAACTAAAAGTCTTTTTGTTAGTGAAACATACTTTTGTTGTTATTTTTATTTGAATATGTTTGTTTTCTTGTATTAATGAAGCTGAAAAAAGGAGATCTTTGTTTGATGGATTTGCTTTCTCTTGGTAAGAAATGTCTTACGGGAGGAAACCCTGGCTGGTCACCGTTACTACCGGGTAGAACCGGCCACGGCCGCGTGTGTGTGCAGCTAGTGTGTGTGTAACGCTCCCATAATCCCATAATACCATAATCTCATGCAGTGTTCTGTTGATTCACTCTTGTTGTGAGTTTTCTGGTGGATTAAATGACATTATTGATGAATTAAAAGAAAGTGTTCCATATTTTTATGGTTTATTTGAACACTGTCAGGAGCCTCGGCAGCACGTGGGCGATTCACACGCAGCCAGCTCCTTCTTTATCGTGAATCCTGGTTTTCCTCCTTCCAGAACACCTGAAGGTGGCGCTGGAGGAGTACATGACCCAGATGTCCAAGGTTCGCATCCTGAGGACCAGGAAGAGGGAAGGTCTGATCCGGACTCGGCTGCTCGGCGCCGCCGCCGCTAAAGGAGAAGTCATCACCTTCCTGGACTCTCACTGTGAGGCCAACGTCAACTGGCTTCCTCCTCTGCTGGGTGAGGAAGACTCTGGTGTTCACAAGAGGCTCTAAAATACACCTGCTGCCCAAAGATGTGTGCTCTAATCTCATTTTTGTTTGAAAATCAAAACTCTGGAAGTGTTTAGACATTTTTTTCTGCCGGTTAATGTTTTAGACCCGGCAGACGAAGAACCCTGGACATAAAATGATCTCCAGAGGCTTGAAAACACAAATATGTTTAAGTTTTTCATTAAGGTGGATTCTTTATAAAGCAGCTGAATAACTGTGCTTGCAGCTTGTCTACTTTAAACCAAACACCGACCAGTCCTTTGTTTTTCTCTCAGACCGGATCGCCCAGAACAGGAAGACCATCGTGTGTCCGATGATCGACGTCATCGACCACGATAACTTTGGCTACGGGACGCAGGCGGGGGACGCCATGCGGGGGGCGTTCGACTGGGAGATGTACTACAAACGCATCCCCATCCCTCTGGAGATGAAGAGAGTCGACCCGACGGAGCCTTTTGAGTGAGCAGCAACACGTTTAGCTTTTAGCTCAGAGAGGCGGTGAAAGTACAGAGAAAAGGGCGTCACAGCTCCAGACGTGCACACACACGTTTAACACTTACACACAGATGTCATGTTCAGCTGTCAGCGTGGCAGGGATCCATAACGCTGATTTTCTCTAATTATTCATGATTATTACTCTAAATGTAATCACCCAGCAGACATGAAACGAGTGGGATCATCTGCAAATCCACCAAATGTGTGTCTAGCATGGGTCCTGAACGTGGAGCTCAGAGGTTTAAAGGTAAAGAAAAGGAAAACACCTGCAGTGACTCCCATCCGGACCAAACTTTAACCCCATATCTGACCTAGTTAGACACGTCTGTTGTGTTTAAATTAACTTTTCAGAGAGTGTGTGGATTAGGAACCGAACTGTCAAATTAGCCTCCACACGTCTGACGTCCTGTTTGCTGCTGGACGTCAGAGTTAGGGTGTTATGGAGGTTTTTCTCAGCACCTGCCGATGCCCATCAGCGTGTTTTTTTAAGGCGGAGCTGAAGCTCTGCTCAGCCATAGAGGTCATGGTAAACCTGTAGGCTCAGGAAGAAAGGCACCAGGCTTTCTTCATGTTCTGTTTTGCTGCTCAGATGCATCATGATGTGTCCAAATCCTTGGAGGAGAAGGAAATGATCAACTAGAACATCAGGAAGTCTCGTTTTGTTTTCTGTCTAAAAGGATTCATGCAGAATTTAAACTCACTAAATGCAGGATTAGATGTTCTGCTTTGCACAGAAGTGAAGTGGACCAGAAACCTGCAGAACACCAATGGTGCCTCAGAGACATGCTGAGTCTGTGGGTTTCTCCCTGACTGACGGCCACACTCGTAGCAGAAACCACAGGACAACGGAATCGGGATTTATTCATCTTTTAGCTCGTTAAAAAGACAAAATGAAGAAGAATCAGTTCTTTTTGCGACTGAATTACAAGTTTTCAAACTGTTTCCATATTTTTTCAGAGCACTAAACTTTGAGATAGTTCTTATGAAGTATAGGGAGTCCTATAGGATGTGGAAGCGCTGCGTGGATCTCCTGGAGGAGGAAAAAGCGCATCAGCCTGCTGCTCCTGAGACGACGGAGCCCTGCAGTGTTTCTCTCAGCTGACGACACAAAACCCGCCCGCTTTGCCTTTAATTGATCCTCCTCGGGGACGAGTTTGGCGAGAACAGACCACCTGCTGACTCGCTGCCTCAGATTTCTACCTAATGAAAAGCCTGTTGCCATGGCAACAGAGGGATGCATATATGATGGTATTTCTGCAGCGTGCAGGGCAGAAGCAGGTTGTTTAGATCAGACGTGGGTAATGCATGGAGACGCGACATATTTGGAGGCTTTTCTCTGTAAATCTTTGTTTTGCACCTGCTGCCCCATTTTTGTTGTTTGCCTCAGCTGTGCAGCAGCAACAATCAGCCTCTGCAGCCCCAGCTCAGCACTCGGAGCTCATGGCTGCAGTCAGACACGCTGCAGAGGGTTAATTGCTTGTGCTCTGTACAGATTATCATCATTACGTGGAGGGAAGTGTCTATAAATAGACTCGCAATCTTAAAAAGTCATCACCTGGATTTTACTGATGGAATAAGTGAGACCTGCCCACTGGGAAAGCGTTCCTGTGTTTAACCTCAGCTGATGCAGCGGCCTGCTTCTTCCAGTTCTCGTTAGAAATAAATCTGTCGGTAAATCATCACCGTATGTAACAAAGGAACCAAACCTGTCCCCACCTCAGGACCCGCGTCGTGTCTCCTTTTTGTCTTCCAGGTCTCCGGTGATGGCGGGCGGTCTGTTTGCTGTGGACAGAAAGTGGTTCTGGGAGCTGGGAGGATATGACATGGGTCTGGAAATCTGGGGAGGAGAACAATACGAGATCTCATTCAAGGTGAAAAAAAAAACCTCCAAAAGAACTGGTTCAGATGGGGTCATCTCTCAGTTCCTGACAGTGTGGACGCATTAGAAACAACTTATGGGAGAGTTGGAGAGACATTTAGGAGTGACTGTAGGCTAAATCACGTTCAGATTCAAATATAAATTTGTCTGCTGTAATGTGAGGGTGAGGGAGGACCTCATGAGATCCGGATCAGGCCCAAAGACCAAGATCCTGGATCCAACCGGCTGAAATTCCTTCCTTCCTAGATCTCCTTGGCTTACAAAAGGAATATTAAATGTTTGTAAAAAGAAAAATAATCTTTATAAAAAATGTATCAACTCCAAAACTAAAGAAGCAGAACGACACAAGATATACAAAAATAAATTATCTAATATAATAAGAGACAGTAAAAAACTGTACTATGGGAATATATTATATGATAACAAAAATAATCTAAAAAGAACATGGGACATATTGAATGGTTTGGTTAAATACAAATCCACAAAGACAGGAAATCCAAACTGTTGTTGAGATGCACATGGAAACAAATGTAATATGGAATTAGCAATAGGTAGCTTCAATGAATTTGTTGTTAATATTGGACCAAAATTAGCAGGTGAAAATCCAGACATCCCAATTGGACAATTTAATGAAAAGATTAAAGTAAACACACACTTTACACACTAGGATTTAACCCTGTTTGCTATCAGTTTGGTTAGATCCTGAGAAAAGATCGGACACATATGAACTTATATTATGCATACATTTCTAGGATATTAATACAAACGATAGAAGTTCAAACACCAACTGTCTTGGTCTATATTTTAATCGAAAGATTAATTTTTAATTCAATTACATTGTACAGCAAAAGTTTATTTATTAACAGAAGACTTGGTGGATTCTTTGCTGATTCAATAACCAACTATAGACCTTTCTGTGTTTCATTTCAAGCAAGAGTCAGGTTTATAAAGTTAAGAATTTATTACTAACAATTTTAAAGATGGTAATTTGTAACAGCTTGATATTAACCTTGGTATTAAAAGCTTTACCTCCTCAGTTCTCCCTTATTTTACTTATGGCGCTGAGGTATGGGGGAATAATTATCAATGATCCTTACATCGTCTTTACATATTGCAACAAAGAGCGGTCCGTTTCATAGATAAGGTTGGATTCTTAGAACACACAAATGAACTTTTTTACAATCAAAATTATTAAAATTATAGGATATAATTAAATATCAAACTGTTCAAATTCTTTTCAAAGCATTTAATAAACTTCTACCAAATAATTGACAAAAGCTATTTATAATTAAAGAGCTGTCACATAGCCTGAGGAGAGATCAAATATTTAAATCACCACTGGTGCGAACAACACGTGAAAGCTTCTGTGTGTCTGTGTGTGGGATAAAAACACAGAATAACCTAAAGACTGATCACAAACAATGTCAAAATATTCAGATTTTTAAAGCACGCTACAGAAGAACAGTCTGGTTAGAATACATTACAAATGAGAATGGGCAATGATGTGAGTAAAGGTGTATGGGAATATATAATTAATGATACTGACAAGAATTGTTAAGTTGTCTAGACTACCATTATTATTGTTATGATTTATGATTTTCTTTGGTCACAAGGTTGTTGAATTAGAGTTTTTTCTACATATTAAATCTTAAACTGTTTAATGTTAAATAGGGGTGGGCTTGAATAAGCTTGGCTTCCGCCCACTCCCTTTCCAACATGCCTACAATGTCAACTTGATTTATTCGTCTTCGTCTTCCTCCGCTTATCCGGGTCCGGGTCGCGGGGGCAGCATCCCAATTAGGGAGCTCCAGGCCGTCCTCTCCCCGGCCTTGTCCACCAGCTCCTCCGGCAGGACCCCAAGGCGTTCCCGGACCAGATTGGAGATGTAACCTCTCCAACGTGTCCTGGGTCGACCCGGGGGCCTTCTGCCGGCAGGACATGCCCGAAACACCTCCCCGGGGAGGCATCCAGGAGGCATCCTGACCAGATGCCCAAACCACCTCAACTGGCTCCTTTCGATCCGGAGGAGCAGCGGTTCTACTCCGAGTCCCTCCCGAATGTCCGAGCTCCTCACCCTATCTCTATGGCTGAGCCCGGCCACCCTACGGAGGAAACTCATTTCGGCCGCTTGTATCCGCGATCTCGTTCTTTCGGTCATTACCCAAAGCTCATGACCATAGGTGAGGATTGGGACGTAGATCGACCGGTAAATCGAGAGCCTGGCTTTCTGGCTCAGCTCCCTCTTCCCCACGACAGATCGGCTCAGCGTCCGCATCACTGCAGACGCCGAACCAATCCGCCTGTCGATCTCCCGATCCCTCCTACCCTCACTCGTGAACAAGACCCCGAGATACTTAAACTCCTCCACTTGAGGTAGGACCTCTCCCCCGACCCGGAGGTGGCAAGCCACCCTTTTCCGGTCGAGAACCATGGTCTCAGATTTGGAGGTGCTGATCCTCATCCCAGCCGCTTCACATTCGGCCGCGAACCTACCCAGCAAGAGCTGAAGGTCAGAGCTGGATGAAGCTAGGAGGACCACATCATCCGCAAAAAGCAGAGACGAGATTCTCCTGCCACCAAACTCGACACACTCCACACCACGGCTGCGTCTAGAAATTCTGTCCATAAAAGTGATGAACAGAACCGGTGACAAAGGGCAGCCCTGGCGGAGTCCAACCCTCACTGGGAACAGGTCCGACTTACTACCGGCTATGCGGATCAAACTCACGCTCCTCTGGTAAAGGGACTGAATGGCCCTTAACAGAAAGCCACCCACCCCATACTCCTGGAGCGTCCCCCACAGGGTGCCCCTGGGGACACGGTCATAAGCCTTCTCCAAATCCACAAAGCACATGTGGATTGGTTGGGCAAACTCCCATGCCCCCTCCATCACCCTTGCAAGGGTATAGAGCTGGTCCACAGTTCCACGGCCAGGACGAAAACCACATTGCTCCTCCTCTATCTGAGATTCAACTATCGATCGGACCCTCCTCTCCAGTACCTTGGCGTAGACCTTTCCAGGGAGGCTGAGGAGTGTGATCCCCCTATAGTTGGAACACACCCTCAGGTCACCCTTCTTAAAGATGGGGACCACCACCCCGGTCTGCCACTCCCTAGGAACTGCCCCCGATGACCACGCAATGTTGTAGAGACGTGTCAACCATGACAGCCCTACAACATCCATAGCCTTGAGATACCCAGGACGAACCTCATCCGCCCCCGGGGCTCCGCCGCTGTGTAGTTGTTTGACTACCTCAGCAACTTCTGCCCCCGAGATCGGACAGTCCATCCCCAGGCCTCCCAGCTCTGGTTCCTCCTCGGAATGCGCATTGGTGGGATTGAGGAGCTCCTCAAAGTATTCCTTCCACCGTCCGACTATAGCCTCAGTTGACGTCAGCAGCTCCCCATCCCCACTGTAAACAGTGTGAGCGAGTTGCTGCCTTCCTCTCCTGAGGCGCCGGACAGTTTGCCAGAACCTCTTTGGAGCCGATCGATAGTCTTCCTCCATGGCCTCACCAAACTCCTCCCACGCCCGAGATTTTGCCTAGGCAACTGCCACTGCTGCACCCCGCTTGGCTATCCGGTACCTGTCTGCTGCCTCCGGAGACCCACAGACCAGCCACGCCCTGTAGGCCTCCTTCTTCAGCCTGACGGCTCCCCGAACCTCTGGTGTCCACCAGCGGGTACGGGGGTTGCCACCACGACTGGCACCGGCCACCTTACGACCACAGCTAGCAACAGCCGCCTCGACAATCGCAGAGTGGAACAAGGCCCACTCGGACTCAATGTCCCCCACTGCTCTCGGGACGTGGTCAAAGCTCTGCCGGAGGTGGGAGTTGAAGACCGTCTTGACAGGTTCTTCTGCCAGGCGTTCCCAGCAGACCCTCACTATGCGTTTGGGTCTGCCAGGTCTACGCGGCATGTTCCCTTGCCATCTGATCCAACTCACCACCAGGTGGTGATCAGTTGACAGCTCCGCCCCTCTCTTCACTCGGGTGTCCAAAACATACGGCCGCAGGTCAGATGATACGACTACAAAATCTATCATCGACCTGTGACCTAGGCTGCCCTGGTACCAAGTGTACCGGTGGGCATCCTTATGTTCGAACATGGTGTTCGTTATGGCCAAACTGCGGCTTGCACAGAAGTCCAATAACAAAACACCGCTCGAGTTCAGATTAGGTGGGCCGTTCCTCCCAATCACACCCCTCCAGGTCAAGCTGTCATTGCCCACGTGAGCATTGAAGTCCTCCAGCAGGACAATGGAGTCCCCTGATGGAGCACTATCTAGCACTCGTCCCAGGGACTCCAAAAAGGGTGGGTACTCTGAACTGATATTTGGCCCATAAGCACAAACAACAGTCAGGACCCGTTCCCCGACCCGAAGGCGCAAGGAAGCTACCCTCTTGTCCCCCGGTGTAAACCCCAACACACAGGCAGAGAGTCTTGGGGCTAACAAAAAGCCAACCCCAGCCCTCCGCCTCTCACCCGGGGCAACTCCAGCAAAGTAGAGTGTCCAACCCCTCTCCAGGTCTCGGGTTCCAGAGCCAATGCAATGTGTCGAGGTGAGTCCGACTATATCTAGCCGGTACCGCTCAACCTCTGCCACAAGCTCCGGCTCCTTCCCCGCCAGCGAGGTGACATTCCATGTCCCAAAAACTAGTTTTCTTGTCCGGGGATTGGACCGCCAAGGCTCCCGCCTTGGTCTGCCACCCGATTCGCATTGCACCGGACACTTCATGTTCCTCCTGCGGGTGGTGGGTCCACAGTTGGACGAGCCCATGTATCCGGTTCGGGCTGGGCCCGGCCGGGCCCCATGGGCGAAAGCCCGGCCACCAGGCGCTCGCTCACGGGCCCCAACCCCAGGCCTGGCTCCAGGGTGGGACCCCGGTAACCCTCCGGGCCGGGTACTCCGACTCTTCGTTTTATCCGCCATGAAAGATCCTTCGAACCGTTCTTTGTCTCACCCTTCACCTAAGACCAATTTGTCATGGGAGACCCTACCAGGGGCACTAAGTGCCCCAGACAACATAGCTCCTAGGATCATTAGGGCACTCAAACTCCTCCACCACGATAAGGTGACGGTTCAAGGAAGAGGAAACTTGATTTATTATTGATTTACATCCTGTTGTTAATTGTGATGTTATTGGCATGTTGGAAATAAATGATGATGATGATGATTCCTCTGTGGGGCTCAGTCGAGCCGCCGCTCCTCCTCATCCTGAACCCTTCTTTCCACCGGAGCCTTCAGCAGCGCGAGTCGGCCTCGTCTCAGGAGCAGCATGTCGCGGCCCTTACGCGCCGGTTCTATTTTCTATGCGCGACGCCTCTGAAACGGGTCAAGTTCGACATTTTTGGGGAAGGAAAGACGGGAAATCGACCGCGAAAACGGAGCGAAGCTCCCGAGATTTTCAGAATAAAGAAACGTACTGCCTTCCGGTTGCTTCACTTTAAAAAAAGTTACTAACTGTGCGGCCCCGTGAGAAGTTATCACCTAGCTAGCGGTCTCCTTTGTTTTTCAGGTCCGTATTGGCGATTATAAAACGGACAGAACGTAAAACACAAACATGTTGTTTTCTCCTGCTTGTTGTTGTGTTTACTGGTGAAGTCACTCGTGTGACTTCGTGCTCGGTCGGTGACAGCTGCTCCCCTGCTGCTTCGCGTCTCGTGGGAAGGGCCAAGCAGCAGCTTACGCGAGCAAGACGTGCTGCTGCAGTAACGTGCTGCTGACGGCTCCGGTGGAAAGAAGGGGTTAGGAGTCACTGAGGAGGTTAATGCTTTCCTTTTGGGGGTAGCTACGTCCTGGTTTTCCTCCTGGTCCTGGTACCATCATAGGGCCAGATGCTCTGATTCCTCCCATACGTTCATGTATTTTATCACAGTTCAGAGTCCAACCAGTCAGATCCCAGTGAGATGCTGGTTTCAGATGTTAATTCCACCTCAAGTGTGAACCTGAAGTGTGAAACGGCGATGACTCCCATCTGACTTGTGGTTAGAAGAGCGCTCACGTTTTTAATACTCGTTTGAAGCTTTTCATCTTGTTTCAGTAATTACTGAGATAATATCCCAGAGCAAGGTTATTATTTCAGCCAAGATGATCAAACTCTGAAATTATGCTATCAGCACATGCTTGCTGTGCCTCTTAGGTCTACTTTGTGAGCTCAGATATTCAATTTGGCTTCCTCTTTATTAAGATCCCTATTAGCTGATATGCTGCAGACAGCCGCCCTCCTGAGGAGAGGAGATTAACCGGCTCTCGTGCTAATCCTCTCAACCAAACTGCAGCTCTACCAGCCCGGTTGCTGCTGTGCTTCATTCTGGTGACGTGGGAGCGTCCAGAGTTTCCCGCTCACACGGCCAGATAAAATCAGAACACGCGGGCTCGGACAACGGAACCACGCTGCGGATTCCTCCTCTGGTTTTAGCTATGCAAACATTTCTGAGGCAGCGCCGCTCCTGAAGCAGAAGTTATAAGAGCTCCCTTTGAATGTGTCAAACTTTTTTATTCAGAGTTGGAGGTGAATTAAAGACAAGCTGTTGGTGCAAGAAAGGCTTAAAATATGTTCTATTTAAGTGTGCAGCTGCAGCATTTTCATTCATAAAAGAAACGTGTTTCCGTGGCAGCGGTGGATTTATTTATGGCGCCTGAACAAAAATTTTACATGAATTTTAAAGGAATTATTAGTTTTTAATCGATTCATGAGCCAGAACTGATCGTTTTATAACACCTAAACCTGCAAGTCGGGTTTATTTAGATCATCATGAACAGGAAGAGGAAAAAGCCGTCTCCCCTTCTGACCCTAACTCTAAAGCTTCGTTCGCACCGAATACTGAACGGATGCAGTCCGGTGTTCTGGAAAGTTTTCTCATGGAGTCATCTTTTCCAGATATCATATGCAGATTTTGATTAAGTTGAAGGTCTTATATCAAACAAAATCCAGCTGAGTGGGACGTGACAGTGAACCTCTGCTCCCCAGGTCTGCAGCTGTGAACTATTGTGGAATATTTATTTACAGGTTAAAGGAATGACTCACAAAAAGCTGTGTTTGACAACATCTCACAGCTCCAACGGTCATGTTTAACCATAGATTGTGCCTTTCATCACTCTGGGCGGTTGAAGGTAGCATGATGCAGGTCCTTTAAAGGAATTACACGAGCCAGACAGGAAGTGAGACTTGGAACAGCGAGGTTACATTTTAAAATAAAACACTTGTTGCATTTTTCTCCGCTTTTTTATCATTAAGGAATGAGATATCAGTTCCATGATAGAAGAAGAAGAAGAAGAAGAAATGATCTTTTCTATAGCGCCTCTCAAGATAACAGATAAAAATCACGAGGCGCATCACAAAAACAAAAAAATATCAACTATAAAAAATAATTTAGAAAATGATTAAAAATATATTTAAAATGAGCAAAAAATAGACAATTGTGATTAAAAAATGTAAAGAAGGAGAGAGAGTGAACAGGAAAGAGGGAAATCAGTGGATCCTGAGGAAGGTGGAACCCTGAAGGTGACTGGCAGCCGGTGCAGCTGGAGGAGAAGCGGGGTGATGTGGGTGTGTTTGGAGGACTTGGTCAGAAGCCGAGCACAGGCGTTCTGAACCTCCTGATAATACAGGCTGTTTTAACAGTTATGTCTCTAAGAGCAGTGTGTCAGGTTTGGTGCTGTCCTGGGAGCAAATCAGAGATTCATACAATTCACCGCTGGAAGTCGTATGGAAAACGGATCGCCTCCGTTCCACAGTGGGTGTGAATGAGGCCGGGATAACTTACCATTAATCTCGTGTACGCATGTTTATCAAGGCTGCTTGTGGGTTTAAAACATTGTTTGTGTGCTTCCTCTGAAATGAATGTGTGAGTATGTAAACAAGCATAATCTTGCCAGATATTCCTGCTGTGTGTGGTGTGTTAGGAGCCCTCTGATCTAACGGGAAGTACATCAGGACTGCTCTGATCAGAAATCAGGAATACTCCGGGAGTTAGATTGTCGTGGTACGACATCGTGGACAAACACGTGTGCTGTCTTTTTAAGGGGAAGTGCAGACAATCAGGAAGCGAGGTGAGGACGTTCCTCCTCCGCCATGTTTGTTTGCTCCAAAGTCACGTTTGACCAGAGATTTAAACTATTTGAAATCCTGCCGTGTTAAACAGGCTTTCATTTGTTCTTCTTCCTTTTGAACCACGTGAGGCTAAATATTAATGTCCAGAGAAAGTTTTGGTGAAATGAAAGATATAATCCTAACCTCTAATCTGCATGTCTCTCTCAAAGACTCAGATGATGGTAGAAGCAGTTTGTCTCACTCGTCTTCACTTTGCTCTCACAGTTAGGTTGCGGTAAACGTTTTCATGTTCTTGTCTAAAACTTAAAAAGCTGTCAGCTGTTAAACACTTTAAATTATTCACAACCGGCTCGGTTCTGCAGGAATGGAACCTCCTAATCCCGTTTCACATTTCCAACCAGCTTTCCCACACAGTCCGTTGTCTCAGATGACACAACCTCACTGTAGTCTGCTCTCTCTCTCTCTCTCTCTCTCTCTCTCTCTCTCTCTCTCTCTCTTCCTCTATTTCCCTCCCTCTTTGTTCCTATCTCTCTCTCCCTTTCTCTCCCTCTCTCTCTCGTTCTCCATCTCTCTCTCTCTCTCTCTCTCTCTCTCTCTCTCTCTCTCTCTCTCTCTCTCAACCCCTCCCTCTCTTTCTCAGGTTTATTTTCAGCCAGTGAGAGAGAAAAATCGCTCCTGTCTTTATTGTATCTGAAGGATTAAAATCCAGAAGAAGCGTTTGATGTTTCTGTTTTGTCTCGATAACAAATGAAAGCAGAATTAGACGAGAAACATGCTTGGAAGCACGGTTTGTTCCTGCTGAAAACAGCTGATTTTGTGAGATTTTAGGTGTAATGAAACCTTTTAGAGTCATTCTATAGATGCTTCAGAGATGCTGACTCGTTTTCCTGAAAAGCTTCTGCAGCTTTTTTAAACTAGAATTAGAAACCTCTGAAAAATGAGCTCTGAGGCTTTTTTTTTTTTTTTTTACTAAACAAAGACCCGCCTGCATCACTACTTCTGCTTCCTGAGCTTTTACTGATGTGAACATTTTCTCCCTGTAGGTGTGGATGTGTGGTGGCCGGATGGAGGACATCCCCTGCTCCAGAGTGGGACACATCTACCGTAAATACGTCCCCTACAAGGTTCCTGGTGGGATCAGCTTAGCCAAGGTAAAGCAGTGGCGCTGTGTCCTCGTGGTTTTGAAGTCCAAACAGAAACAAAACAGGAAACTTTGGATTAACTGTTGACCCAAATCAAGATGGCTGCTGAAAGGCTTTAGCTAACAGAAAGAGACTGGAAACATAACAGGATGTTTATTTAAAACTAACATCTCCGTTACTTAAAGAGCAGATGGTCATGCAGCCGTCCCAACCACCATAAAATAAATATGGCTGATATTTGTTCCCATGTCTGAACCAGTCGGAGCTGGTTTTTATCTCCATGCTGAGATAGATGAACATGTCCACCCTGACTCTTCAGGAGATCACAATGAAATACTGATGCAACCACTGAATGAAGAAAGGTTTAGCTGCCGTCTGATTTAGTTGCTTGTTGAAAAATGATGTGGATTAAAAAGCCTCCCAGAACAACAAGCTAACACTCCTTTAAAGAACCGAGCAGCTGCTGATCTGAGAGACAACTCATAAGAGTTGATGTGCTTCCTGCTTTGGTCTCGTCTTTCCTTCTGTTCACAGAAGGAACATCTTCAGAAGTCTTTCCTGGTTCCTTTAATAAAACATCCAACATGCAGCCAGACGTTGGCCTTGGTCCTCCTCAGAGGCTGAATGACTGACAGAGTCGGGGGTGCTGTTGGATCTGAGAGACGGTCAAATATTCCTCCTGTTTTTCTTTTTATCAAAGAAATTAAATTAAGTTCCAATAGAGACAAAAAGTAAACATTTTAATTTCTTAACCAGTGGCAGCAAAATGAAATGATTAAATATTTAATTAGTACAACATGGTTTTTCAATCATGGTTGGATGGATAGATGGATGGTTGGATGGATGGATAGATGGATGGATGGATGGATGGATGGTTGGATGGGTGGATGGATGGTTGGATAGATGGATGGATGGATGGATGGATGGTTGTATAAATGGATGGTTGGATGGGTCGATGGATGGATGGATGGATGGTTGGGTGGATGGTTGGATGGGTGGATGGATGGTTGGATAGATGGATGGATGGATGGTTGTATAAATGGTTGGATAAATGGATGGTTGGATGGGTGGATGGATGGATGGATGGATGGATGAATGGATGGATGGATGGTTGGATGGATGGATGGATGGATGGATGGGTGGTTGGGTGGATGGTTGGCTGGGTGGATGGATGGTTGGATAGATGGATGGATGGATGGATGGTTGTATAAATGGTTGGATAAATGGATGGTTGGATGGGTGGATGGATGGATGGATGGATAGATGGATGGATGGATGGTTGGATGGGTGGATGGATGGTTGGATAGATGGATGGGTGGATGGATGGTTGGATAGATGGATGGATGGATGGATGGATGGATGGATGGATGGTTGGATAGATAGATGGCTGGTTGGATGGGTGGATAGGTGGATGGATGGTTGGATAGATGGATGGATGGTTGTATAAATGGATGGTTGGATGGGTGGATGGATGGTTGGATGGATAGATGGATAGATGGTTGGATGGATAGATGGATGGATGGTTGGATGGATACATGGATAAATGGATGTTTGGATGGGTGGATGGATGGTTGGATGGGTGGATGGATGGGTGAATGTATGGATGGATGGATAAATGGATGTTTGGATGGGTGGATGGATGGTTGGATGGGTGGATGGATGGGTGGATGGATGGATGGATGGTTGTATAAATGGATGGGTGGATGGATAAATGGATGGTTGGATGGATGGATGGATGGATGGATGGTTGTATAAATGGTTATATAAATGGATGGATGGATGGTTGTATAAATGGTTATATAAATGGATGGTTGGATGGGTGGATGGATGGGTGGATGGATGGATGGTTGTATAAATGGTTATATAAATGGATGGTTGGATGGGTGGATGGGTGCATGGATGGTTGGATGGATAGATGGATGGATGGTTGGATGGATAGATGGATAAATGGATGGTTGGATGGATGGATGGTTGGATGGGTGGATGTATGGATGGATGGGTGGATGGATGGATGGATGGATGGATGGGTGGATGGATGGATGGATGATTCATTTTAGAGCGACCCTACTTCTTAATGAACACATGAAAAAGGAAGAATGAACAGGACTCTGAAACTGAAGCTTCACTGTGGCCTGAATTCTTTAGATTGACAGGAAAATCTTGTTCTATGTCCAACAATAAATAACATTCCATTTTTCTTCAAGCTAACCTGAACGTGTTTGTTTACTTTATGAGTTGATTTATTTACATCATCTTTGACTTAAACATTAAATCTGTTGTAAATGTTCACCGTCACCAGCACAGTCTCTGGTTCGTCTCCATCCTGGTGGTCTGCAGTTAGCCAGATCTGAGCGGCTTCTCCTCCAGCTGCAGCTTCTTGCCTCTGCAGGTGCTGCTGTGAAGAATGAGCCTAAGCTCCGTTGTTCCTGGTTTTCTTTTTCTGAAGTACCCACACAGAATGGAGAGTTTTCTAAAGTGCTAAATCATCCAAGGTGTATCCGAGCAGCATTCGTTATGCATGCCGCAGCCTCAGCCTGGAACCGGGCTCAGAATGCAGCCGAAGATTCAGCTTTTGTTTTATTCTCACCAGCAGTACTTCAGCGGGGCCTCGGTGGAATGCTGATGGCCCTGGATCGGCTTTGCCCTGCTGATGAAGGAGAACATTTACATAAAAATGTTAACTATGAAGGAACCACTGCTAGCGCTCAAAATCAGGGCTTCACGTCCTCGGTTCTCACATCCTTGTGATGTTTTTGTTGAAGTGGTGCTTCAGTGGGAAGCTGAAAGACAGCTCTGTGCAGGTTTTACCAGCATATCAAATCATCACTGTTCCAGATGTTACGGAGATGGTTATGAAACATGTGGTTAGTTCAGGGTTCATGAATGTCTCAAACTCAGTGATCAATTTAATTTAAACTTTCAATCCACCAGGCTTTTCAGCCAAGAAATGAAGGATTCTGATGAAACAGCTTCTCTTCTCAGAACCTGAAGCGCGTCGCTGAGGTTTGGATGGATGAGTACGCCGAATACGTCTACCAGCGCCGGCCCGAGTACCGCCACCTGTCAGCAGGAGACATGACGGCGCAGAAGGAGCTGCGTAATCGATTGAGCTGCAAAAGCTTCAAGTGGTTCATGCAGGAGGTGGCCTGGGATCTGCCGAGACACTACCCACCGGTGGAGCCTCCTGCTGCTGCGTGGGGGGAGGTAAGGGGAGGGGTCATCCAGCAGTCATAAACACAGACCAGGAAGTAGAGGCAAAACAACCAGCTGGTTGTTTGTTCATTGGTCTGGTGCTTGTTTAAGGTTCACTGTGCAGAGATTAAAGCAAAACACATTACTATTGTTGTTTAATGGACATGTGAGGCAAAGTCTTGAAAACATCTGATTGATACGCTAGGAACCATTTAAATATCTGGAAACAAACCAATCCACAAGAAGCTGTATTAATCAGATGATTAGCCTCACCTGTGGTTGGGACAGGTCAACGCTAAAGGGCAGTGGTAGCTGTCAGAGGTGTTTCCTCTAAAAGTGTTACTTTTCAGTCATTTGTTCAAAGACTGATGGTGTTACAGACAAGTTGGTCAAATCTAGTCAAAAACATCATGACTGATCTGTTAGCATGATCGTTTTAGCTCAGTATCATCAAACTGGCTGAGGTGTAGCTGTCTGTGGTTTAATATCTGTCACATGGTTCATTAGAAACAGCCAAACTCTTAAAGAGGTCCTTCAACCAGAGGTCTCTAGTGGGAATGCACACCTTGTAAGGCGTTCTGTGGGGAGAAAAGCTCTGGTGCGCTTGTTTGAGGATGCAGATTTCAGCTGGAGGAGACAGTAGCTTCAGACCGTAGGCCTTTGAGCCCTATTTCCTGATAAGATCTCCTCTGATTGGCTAGCAGCAACACGACTCTACCACTGACTGTCTGCTCCACAACGTTGATGTTTAATCTCCACAAGTAACACAAGCCTGGAGGAGTTCTGCTGTGTGGTAGAGTTGCTAATGCTAATGGTTAGCTTCTACTAGCAGAGACCTTCCCTGTCGTGAGTAGATGGGTGATTCTCTGAATGTTAAGTGACAGTGTGACGTAGATCTGTCAGGCTTTTCTAATCCTGGAGTTTCACCGTCTGTTTTCTATCAGAAACTCATTTGTAAAAATAATAAGTGAAAAATGGTTTCTCAGGATCTTTTTGAGCCTAAATCTTTCCCAGTCAGTTAGCACCCAGACTGTCTGATTAGCTTGACTCTCAACTACTAACGTACCAAATTTGAGCTCAACATCAGTTAAACTGAGTTTAGCTGAATGTGTGTTTGCCAACGTTCATCAACTTGTGACAGTCTAGGCACCAGATCTATTAGAGGCCCGGCGCCTGATGATGATGTCACACTCGTTAACTGGCTGCAGGTAAACATATAAACTTTTGGGTAGTCTGGACAAACCGTGGAAATCATGTTAGCGTGTAACCAGATCTGCTCTGGGTTGTGGCTCTTTTGGAACTACTTTTAAAACTAAATCCATCTTTACCTTTGAAACTAGGGCTGCACGATATTAGGAAAACCTGCGATATTCGATAACAGTGATTAATATTGCGATGACGATATTATTTGCGATAAATAAAAACTTAACTCAGGACCAAAAATAATCAAAAATAAAAATCATCAAAATGAGAAAAGCAAAAGATGTGAGGAAAGGGAAAAGAAAATGAACAAGAAAAGGCAATCAGTGGATCCCGGGAAAAGTAGAATCTGCAGAAAGAGCAGAACAAAGCTAACTCAGGTGTTTGCTAACCATCAAAATTAAGTGACGTCCGCCTCAGGGTCTAACCTATGAGAACCCACCCAATTGGCCAAATGGGTGAAGAGCTCTATTTGATTTGTTGAAAAAACATCATGCTTCTGTTTGATTGACAGGATCCATTATGTGTAGCAAACATTTGAGCTGACCATTCACTGCGATTTATCTGTTGTTTGCGATATGCATATTGTGCATGCTGATATTGCGATAACGATTGTAAGGGAAAAATGAGGTTCTTACATTTTAATTTAATTGTAAGGCGTGGGATTCCATAGGAAATATGAAATCCGCCTCACGGAACGGGGTTGGTTAAACCAGAAGATCGGGTCTTTTTAATGCAGAGATCATGTAACCGTTATGTATTCACTCAGAGACAACAGAATAGAACAAGTCAAGTTTAAAAGTTAAGAAATTTTATTACTAACGATTAAACTAGGCTCATTTAAGAACTAAGTGTATAGTGCGACTAAAAATGGATGACGTGTCATGTAAATCAGAACCCGCAAATCCGAAGAAGCGATTAGTTCTGACAGGAACTGAAGATGTTGGTTTGGAATAAGCTGGGGTTCGTTTCAGAACTGCATGAGACACCATTAAGCCACGCCTACCTGCCTGGTGGAAGTCCTCTGTGAGATCAGGAGTGCCAAGGTCCACCTGGACCCTCTCTGGACACCGAGCTGGTAGCAGAGCTGCAGTTCCAACCAGACCCGTCTCGAGATACTGCCGGCACACGACTCTTTTCTTGGTGTCTGTTCAGACCCAGCCTGGGACAGTGGAGCTCTTATTCTGAAAGGAGCTGTTGTCGTTGCTTGTTGTTATAGCGACTGGATTTCCTCTCAGCTTGTCGAGGTTCTTTCAGTTAAATAGTTAAAGTTCAGGATTGGCCACTCCGTCACATTGCTCTGAAACGCTTTGAACTGCGTTAGAGCTGATGTGGCATCTGTTTTATACCTCGGATGCTATGGTTTATTGTCGAATGAAAATTACCAAACACCGTCAGAAGCACGCCTCCGTCAGATCTGTAAGATTCTGATTGGATCAGTGAAAAAATGTGTCATGTCTTTTTAACACTACGTGAAATGAGTCATGTTGAACCATTTAAAGTTACATTACTTCATTTCTAAGATCATAATAAAATAATTAATATTTTAATTTCACAGGTCGGTCACACAGCCCTACATTTGGTCCGATAAATAATCCCAGAGTGCACTATAAATAAATGAAGTTACCTATCTGCTCAAATACATTTGCATAAGTTGAGGGTGCGGCGTTGTTTTAAATAACTTTATTGAACAATTATCAATATTATAAGAACAAATGAAGATTTTAACACTTACACAGATAGCCATGTAAAAATGTGAAACTGTCTTTATTTGATATAGTGCCTTCTAGAGTCCTACAACCCCCCAAGGTGCTTTACAACCCAATGAGTCATTCACACACTGATGGTGGTGGGGGGCAGAGGCGTGTTGCCTGAGGACACTTCAGGGTGCGGAGGAGTCAGGAATCGAATCACCAGCTGAGAAACAGTTAGCTCATTCCAGTTACATTATTCTGCTTGGATCTGTTTATAGGTCCACGATTCTCTCATCCTGGTTTTAAGTGAGACTCGCTGACGTCTAGAAAAAGGACTCTGCTCCGCTCAGATTTCTTCAGACTCCCTTAATATTTCCCTCTTTTTCTTTTTCTTAGCCTCTAATGCTGTGAGGGAACTTTTTTTTTTCATTCAGATCTTCTGTGTTTGTTCGTTTTGTGCTTAGATCAGGAATGTGGGAAGTGGAATGTGCATGGAGATTAAACACCTTGTCTCTGGGAGTCCGATCCGCTTGGACAACTGTGTGAAGAGCCGCGGCGAGACGAGCTGGAGCCACGGACAGGTGACGGTCATGTCTGCTTGTGAATGCTGGCACTATTTGTTGCAGGCCAACGAGAGACTGGATTAATCCGACATCATTTACGATAATAAGATGAAAAAAGAAACAGATTTGTTGCAACCCCTGCAGGTGTTGACGTTCGGTTGGAGGGAGGACATCCGGGTCGGTGACCCCATGCACACGAGGAAGGTCTGCTTTGATGCGGTTTCTCACAGCAGCCCTGTCACGCTGTACGACTGTCACGGTATGAAGGGGAACCAGCTGTGGCGCTACAGAAAGGTAGGAGCGAAGGTAAAGAGCATCAGAGGAGGAGGGGGGAGTCCTCTAAGAATGTGTATGTCTCCTCCAGGACAAGAGTCTGTATCACCCAGTCAGCAACAGCTGCATCGACAGCAGTCCTATGGAGCGGCGAGTCTTCATGAACACATGTGACCCCGCCTCTCCGAGCCAACAGTGGCTGTTTGAGCGGACCAACGCCACCGTGCTGGAGCACTTCAACCGGAGCTGGAGCACTTCAACCGGGACAGCAACTGAGGTCACTGAGCGTTGAGACGAGGCGTCTTCCGAGGAACCGATCATGAAACACTGATCACCTTTGTTCAAGTGAGTCTTTTTCATTCTTCAAAACGTCAAACTAGAACGTTTGTGGAATCCTGCAGGGCTCCAGATTGGTTCCATGGGGTGGACTCTCTAGACATGAAGGAATCACGTTGTACCTTCGTAGAAACCTTAAAGCTGAGTCTCGTTACTTTATTGTTCAGTTTGTAGGTGGAAACAGAAATTGATACTCTCATGTGGTCTTGGACATCATTATTTCAACCATGTGAGAATGTTTCCCCAACCAGAGGAACATCACCGCTCAACAAACCACCATTAGACGTCTAATATTAACACTCGTCACCATAACGTTCTGTCTGCTGGTGACACAAATACACCTTCCTGCCTACATCACCTGTCCAGGTAAACCCGACTAGTGAATCATAAACATCATTCGGTCCCAGATTATTTTTCCATTTTGTTTTTCTGATCCGATCCTGAAGCTGAAATGAGAAAAATGTGTTTTTGATTTAATTTTATTGTGTCTGTTTACCAAAGCATAGAAAAATCTGTTTATTATTATGTTTAATTTTTGGATTTCAATTGAAAACCGAATGGTGCAAAGAATGAATGAAAAGTCAAGCACGGTTTGATGCATCAATTAACTCGTCTGTGTTTGATTGATTTAGTCGACTTTAGATGGTTTCTGTTGCTTTCCTGGGATCGGTTTATGTCCTCCACATATTGTTGAGTTCTTTGTCCTTTAGGCGCCTCGGTCCCTTCGACCCGTCACATCATCAGCTCATCAGCCAGCTGCTCCTGATTCCACTCATCCTGTATAAATCCTCCTGTTTCCTCCTGATGTTTCAGATGATTCAACAAGTCCACGTTAGAAATGTTCGTGATGGTTTTTCCAAACTGCACTTTTTCCCTCTACATCTTTAGCAAGTTGAAATGACTATATCTGGAAGGAACAGCAAAACTAAATATATTTTATTTCTAAATTCTTTAAAAAACTGAGAAATCAGAGCGGTGTTTCTCAATGTCAAGGCGCCTGACCTTGGGAGGCAACGTCTTGCGAGGCCAGGCGCCTTGCTTATGAGGACACGGTCCTTCCTTGGTCATCGAAAACGGTTAAATGGAACAGACTTGCATCACGTGACTGTGGCTTCCATGGCGGTCATGTAACGTCACGTGACACGGGAGACAACATTATATTTTATACGTATTAGTTTCAATATAAATATATAACGAGTCTTTTACTTTTTAAATTGTGTATATGTTTATTAAATTAATAATATAATTGAGTTACTACCCGCTAGCCACCGAAGCTGCAACTAATAAGCAACTAGCCAACCATAGATAACTTCTTCGGATCTAAAAAAATTTTTTAACCACGGTATTTTCCACACCATGAGGCGCTATTAAAAACCTTTGATCTTTCCCTGAACCGGCAGTGCGCCTTTTAATATGAATGTGCCTTTTATACATGTATTAAGGACGTAAGTGAAGCCAGCCACACCTGCGTCCGCAGGAAAACAAAGAGCCGGCCCGTAGCACTGCCCACCCTCACCAAATAAAAGGTGACACTGAGAAGCTAGAGTTGTTCCGCTCCTAATGCACTAAGAAGATGGCAGACAAAAACATCCGGCCCCAGCACATCACCAACATGGATGAGGTCCCGCTTACCTTCGACGTCCCGGTGAACTGGACCGTGGAGAAAATGGGGACCAGCACGGTGTCTGTGCGGACGACCGGCCACGAGAAGTCCTGCTTCACCGTCGTGCTCGCCTGCCAGGCCGATGGCCAGAAGCTGCCGCTGATGGTCATCTTCAAGCAGAAAACTTTACCCAAAGAAAAGTTTCCCGCCGGCGTGATCATCAAGGCAAACCCGAAGGGCTGGATGGATGAGGACATGATGGCGACGTGGCTGCAGGAGGTGTACACCAAAAGACGGGACGGCTTCTTCCACACTTCTCCAGCCATGCTGATCTGCGACTCCATGCGGGCCCATCTCACCGACGCCTTTAAAATCCAGGTGAAGAGGATGCACACAGAGCTCACCATCATACCGGGTGGATTAACCAAAGAGCTCCAGCCGCTGGACATCGGGGTGAACCGGTCCTTCAAAGCAAAAGCCCGAGCAGCGTGGAAGCGCTGGATGACTGATGGCGAACACACGTTCACCAAGACGTACAAGCAGCGCCGACTGACTTATGCCACCATCTGTGAGTGGATCGCTGATGCCTGGGCCAACGTTTCCGTCCAGACTGTTGTTCGAGCTTTCCCCAAGGCCGGGATAACAACGGGAGAGCCGAGCAACGACAGTGACATTGCCTCTGATGCGATGAGCCGGGCGCATTGGAGCCGAGCGCGCTGGGTTCAGTGCTGGGTCAGTTCTTCATGTCAGACACGGAGAACGAGGATTTTGAGGGATTTATGGACAAGGAATGAAAAATTGTGAATGCTTTTTTCAGTATTGCTGCTGAATAATTTTTATAGCTGCTATGGAGCCTTATGTGCGGACCAAACCTTTGACTAGGACACTGATTGGCTGTGCGCCCTATAATCAGGTGAGCCTTATGGTGCAAAAAATATGGTAGTTGACTCGCTTTTAAACTTGAAATTTGTCCCTGAAGTAGCTGCTGGCTTCTGATCCGCCGTCCTTTTGAAAACACTGCGGCGTATTCTGGTAATTTTTGACCAAGGCGTAGGCTACAAGACATCTCCCGTGTATCCTTGCTCAGCTAGCTAAACGGCTAACAAACGGAGAACACATGCCTCAGTAGAACATGAACATTGGAACCGATTGGAACATGTTTTGGTTGCTCCGGATGACGTATCCCCTAGGCAACTGGGGCGGGGCCAAGACATCAAGGCAAGGTTCCTTGGCATTGAGAAACATCCAGAGTCTTCATGGTGACCCTGACCTGAGGTTTAGTGCAGACTGAATCCAGCTGTGTTCCCCAGAAAAAACCCTGTATCTGAATCCAACCAGGCGATATCTCGTCTTCGGCGCCACTTTGTGATTAAAACAGGATGACTGCATGATAATACACATGAATGTCTGCTTTTAGAGGTAATTAGAACTCTGAAAAATTGATTTCCAATCTGATCTGTTCTCAAACATCTAGCAGAAATGCTCGCTGTTCTGCACATGCATATTAACATCTGCTTTAAATGGATTGGGTAAAAACATCTGAGTCAATATGAGTTTATTTTAGTGAAGAAAGATGAATTTTAGGATTTTTGGGGAGCATTCCGTAAAGTTGCTTTGTTGTTTTTGAAGCTGATCGTCAGGCTCTACGTCTGACCCCTTCTTTCCACCGGAGCCGTCAGCAGCACGTCACAGCTGCTGTTAGGAACCGCTGTGGTCAACAGAACCTTTTCCACTTGAGCCGTCAGCAGTGCGAATTGGCCGCGTCTCAGGAGCAGCATGTCGCGGCCCTTACGCGCCGGTTCTATTCTCTACGCGTGACGCCTCTGAAACGGGTCAAGTTCGACATTTTTGGGGAAGGAAAGACAGGAAATCAGACGCGGAAATGGAGCGAAGCTCCCGAGATTTTCAGAATAAAGAACGTACTGCCTTCCGGTTGCTTTACTTTAAAAAAAAAATTACTAACTGTGCGGCCCCGTGAGAAGTTATCACCTAGCTAGCGGTCTCCTTTGTTTTTCAGGTCCATATTGGCGATTATAAAACGGACAGAACGTAAAACACAAACCTTTTGGAGCCGTGTTGTAGTTTTCTCCTGCTTGTTGTTGTGTTTACGACTTCGTGCTCGGTCGGTGACAGCTGCTCCCCTGCTGCTTCGCGTCTCGTGGGAATGGCCAAGCAGCAGCTTACGCGAGCAAGGCGTGCTGCTGCAGTAATGTGCTGCTGACGGCTCCGGTGGAAAGAAGGGGTCAGCAGCATCATGCGAGAGCTCTTTCTCCACTTTGTCTCATGTTCTTACCCCGTCCTGCCGTACTACGCTACATAAGAGAAAAAGAAATGTAGTCATTCTGGTTCACGAGAAGACCATGACAACAGGCCTGGATATGGATTCATTTGTTAGGACTTTAGCACAGAAAAGCAGAAGGCTGATGCTGTAATGACTGATAGAAGCCATAAAGAAATAAAAACAACAACATTTCTAAAAAATATAAGTAAAATAAAAAATAAAATAAAAATGAAAGAATAGACAGATAAGATAGATAAAATAGATTAAAGACATAAAAAAGATAAAAACCTTAAAAAATTAAAAGAGAGACAGATAGGCAGATAGATAGATAGATAGATAGATAGATAGATAGATAGATAGATAGATAGATAGATAGATAGATAGATAGATAGATAGATAGATAGATAGATAGATAGATAGATAGATAGATAGATAGATAGATAGATAGATAGATAGATGATAGATGGATGGATGGATGGATGGATGGATGGATAGATAGATAGATAGATAGATAGATAGATAGATAGATAGATAGATAGATAGATAGATAGATAGATAGATAGATAGATGATAGATGGATGGATGGATGGATGGATGGATGGATGGATGGATGGATGGATGGATGGATGGATGGATGGATGGATAGATAGATAGATAGATAGATAGATAGATAGATAGATAGATAGATAGATAGATGATAGATAGATAGATAGATAGATAGATGATAGATAGATAGATAGATAGATAGATAGATAGATAGATAGATAGATAGATAGATAGATAGATAGATAGATAGATAGATAGATAGATAGATAGATAGATAGATAGAAAGAAAAAAGAAAGATTAATGCAGCCCCAATAGGGAACAAGCCAGTGTCCCATTTGTGCCGGTCCCAAGACCGGGCAAATGCAGAGGGTAGTGTAAGGAATGGATCAAAGGAAAAGATAGATATATGGATAGAAGAACTGTAATGATGATAGCATAGTTTTCTATGCATTTTAGGGATTTGGGGGTATTTGACACCTGAAAAATTATTTCCCAGACCTGCCCCTCCTGATATTCTTCCTGCCCCCCTTTGTAGGGCTGGCTAAATCCGGCCCTGATAGGAAGCCTAAGGCCGGGGACACACCGGCCGCGGAAGCGCCGCGAAGCGAATCGCTCACGAAATTCGGCCGCTGCTCGCCGCTCCTCAGTTCAGATCAGACGCGCCCCAGTCAAGGCGCGCCTCGGCTCAGCTGTAGTTTTTCTTTTAAACACTTGGTGTCCTCCATTTCCTCTCTGCCTTTTCTCAGCTCTTTTCCTACGTTTGAGTGTTTGTGCGCGTGCGCGCGCGTGTGTGTGTGTGAACCTATGGTATGAGTTGTTTCTGCCAGTTGAATCTCTTGGAACCCGCTCCAATTCTGCAGCTGTATCCTAGCAGTTTCTTCCGACATGGGTACGTAAACAATCATGTTTTTCGGGGGTCGTACAGCTCCTTGTGTTTCTCAACTTCCATAATTAATTTAAAGTCATCCATCCTAACTGCTTGCCTCAGACTTTCTGCCTCTCTGTCCTGTTTGCTCCAGTGAAAAGACACCCAAAACCACTCCCCCCTTCACGTGGTCACACACGCACACAAGTTCGATGTGTGTGTATGTGTGTGCGTGTTCGTGTGGTTTTTCTGCAGTGTCTGTTTACGAACACATTTGACTATTGCGGAATTTTATTTTGAAATGCTTTATTTTGTTAACTTTACCGGCCTGCCTCTTATGTCTACGTTTGACTTCCTGCCAGAATTGACGCGATTCACCCGCGGCTCGCGAAAAAAATAGAGCCAACGCCGAAATGATCGCTGCACGGCGCGGGCTGGAGCGCCGGCGCGCGCCGGCGCGAGGCGATTCGCGGCGCTTCGGCGGCCCATGTGGTCTATAGAATAGCTTAACAAGGGCGCCGAATGAAGGCGGTCCCATTTTCGCGGCGCTTCGCGGCGCTTCCGCGGCGCTTCCGCGGCCAGTGGGTTCCTGGCCTAAGGCTCCTCCCCATCCGGTCAACTCACGGGTCCTTGAACGGGGCTGTAAAAGTAATTTTCTGGTCCTGTCTGCCTGAATCACACACACACCTTGTTCTTCAGTTTAAATGATTATGTGAGTTTCGACTATGTCTGCAGCCTCATCTGAGATTTGTAAATACTATCGTGCTACTTGTAAATATTTGTAATTAAAAAGACGTGGCAGATATGACATCACAGCAGAACCTCCTCTCCCCCGGCGTAGCTGCTACTGACCACATGACCAGATTGATGGTGGTTTTTTTCACGTTTAATGCTCCTTCTGTCATCCTGGAAGAAAGATGTGAAGCTCGCTACAACTTTTCAACTAAAGTAACTTTTGCCACCAGTGGAAAATTAGCACTATCTTTGCATCAGAATGTGTTTTTAAAATTTACACACACAAATATGAAATCCATGACACATGTCAGACGGGATCAGAACATAGCTATTATCCCTCCATAGAGTCTCATTCATTTATTTATTTTTACTGCGAAAGACTGGAGTTGAGACGCTGCTGAGGCTGGTTCTGATCAGGAAGCCTCCTGGAGGCCTCTGGAGCTGACTGGGAGGACTGGGATTTTGCACCAGGAGCACATTCAGATCCACCGTGTTGCTTCACTTTCTCCTTAAACCACTTTACTGTTTTCTCTAACTTTGAAAGATTCTCAAGTTGTTTTAAACATTCCGTTTTTTACTGTTTTCCAGATGAGAATGGAAGTTCTACGAAAGCAAAACGCTGCCTCACAAACATCCCCGGGGTGCTGCAGCGATCCGGTGCCTCGGCTACAGTCGAAGAGCTGGTCGGACCAGATGCCTCGACGCCCAGAATCCAATCATACAGCTGGAGTTTGTGATGGGGAAGGAGGTAACAGAAAGACACGCTTCCCTGAACATCTGCACCCAACAGTCAGTCAATCTTCTTACCGATGCCGAATGGATTTAAAAACAGATCTGAAATGTGCTCTGTCCTTCTCCAGGGTGGGAGGACCCCGGCGGGAGCAGGTGGCCCCGTGGACGCGCTGAAGCTTTAAAAAGTCGGTTCTAAAGAGGCGAAAATTTGCAGCGATGCACCTCCTGTCATTACCAGTGTAGATCATCCAACACAGACTGGTGGATTTATTAGAAGATCTGTTCTTTGGCCTTCCTCAGCCTTGTATTTTTCTATTTTTGGCATGTTTTTTTTTTATTCATGGTGCTAAACAGCTTCTGAAGGCTGTAAAGGATTCCTGCTGACTGGTCGATGTGTCCTTTTCAACGAAGCTGTTAAAGGTGCTTTTGTAAAATACGAATTTATTTTTTTATGTAATAAATAAAATAAAGCATATCTGTGGGTGTCAGACATTCATCAAATACATTATTATATAGAAAGCTAGGGTGGACAAACCTACCCCTAACCTGAACAAAGCATGACGACAAGATGCAGCCTTACCCTGACTTCACACTGGAGGCCTCAGCGGCGCGGAACAGGTCACTCACGAGTTTCGCCGCGTGCCAGTACACACCGGGCGGCTTCTCTGTTCATTTTAAGATCCTGGTTCTGGTCTATAGGGCCTTACATGGACAAGCACCATCTTACATTGGTGATCTTCTTAGTCCCTACACCCCAGCAGGTCCCTGAGGTCCAGTTATCACCAGGCTAAAGGTCAAAGGTGACAGATCATCTGCTGCTGTGGCCCCCAGACTCTGCGCCTCCCTCCTCCTGATCCTGAGATCAGTGGACTCCTTTAAACTCACCTGTTCAGGCTTTGGTGTGACCTTCATCACCCTCTCCTTGTTCTGCTCTCCCTACCTATTCCACCTTCCTCAGGATCCACTGATTTCCCTCTTTCCTGTTCACTCTCTCTTTTTACTTTTTTTTAATCACAATTGTGTATTTTTTTGCTCATTTTAAATATATTTTTAATCGTTTTCTAAATTCTTTTTTATATTTTACTTTTGTTGTTTTTGTGACGCTCCTCGTGATTTTTATCTTGAGAGGTGCTGTAGAAAATATATTTTCTTCTTCTTCTGCTACGCTCCTCGCTGGATTCGCGAGATCAAAAAAATCCCTCTAGACTTCAAAGGTCAGTGGGTCGTGTGATTCCAGCGGGATTCCTGTGAAATGGGAGTCAAGTTATTTATAATCACGTTACTGGGACAAAACAGGAAAAATAATCAACAGGAGAGGGCAAGAGTGGGAATAAAGTACATTTAGATTTCTGTTCTATTTCTTCTTTCTGTCGGACCAGCGCCAAACGTCATCTCAATGCGCAGTGGTGAACCGCCACATCTGACAACATGGACAGAAACAAAGATGGGTTGCAGGAGCAAACTGAGGGGGAAAATGCCCGCATCTCCACAAAAATGCTGTCAGGGAAGTCTTACCGTTGTCTGGGAGTCAGTGACGAAGAGGAAAAGCCTTACAGTTTTTTTTTTTTTTTTTGGAATCGCTACACCTTAAAACAACTCAGGGCAGAGAACGGAGCACCAACTAGGAGGGCGTTTGCATAGTCCAGGCGAGCGGTAATGAAAGCATGGATGACTGACTCCAAGTGCCTCTGCTTGAAGATTGGTCTGAGGCGAGTAAGGTGGCGCTGCACTTCTGGAACAATGCTGGAGTATTGGGTCATGTGTGTTGACGTAATCTACATTGATATAAAATCTCATCGCTGCAATTGTCTTTTAATTTGAAAATTACAGTAAGTTTTACACTGAAACCGTGTGTGATTTCCTGTCTCGCCTTACATTAACTGCAGACGTTGATAGAACCCGGTCCTATCTTTGCAGCAAGCTTCTTCTGGGCCTCGCCTCCGAGTTGCGGCTGGTTTGAATCACCTCTATAGACTACAAAGGGTTCTATGCAAAATGGTGCTGTTCCGCATCGCTGATGTTTTGGGTGATGGTTGATTTTATTCAGTCTTTTAAAAAAGTTTCCATATTTTGGGAATCCAAAGAAGCCAGATTAATCATCTAAAGCCCAGTTCACACAGCATGATAATCATCCAGATTTTTGACCAGGCCCTCCCTTTTCAACAATCTTAACCCCCCCCCCCCCATCATTGTGATGTCTCCAAAGATGATCATATCATATTATTCTGCCATGTGTTGTGTGTTAAGAGTGCTCTGGTCTGTTTGGAAGCACGTCGGGACCACTCCGATCATAAATCAGACATTTTCAGCACGTTGGACTGTCTTGATCCAATATCGAGGACAGATGAGCACGCTGACTGTTGAAAATGTTGTGTCGCCAATCAGAAAGCGAGGTGATGGAGGCTCACAGCACTCTTCCTCAGCCATTTTTGTTTTTTCTAAAGTCTTGTGTGGTCTCGAGACTTTTTGGGGGATTTCCCATCTGACAGAGGAATGATTATGTGTGAAATCGGTTTGGAAAATCTTCCCACAATTATAAAAATTCTGCCGTGTGAACCGGGCCTAAAGCCATTGGCTTTAGATTCACCTGCTTAGAAATGAAACTAACTTGGTTTTGGTTGTTTTGGCGTCTTGCAAACCCAAAAGTAATCAGATTAAAGTGATTAAAAGGAAAGAAAAACACACGCTGGTTAAAAGGTTTCCGGATTCCTGCATGAAGCAAAAAGCATGCTTTCCATTTTGTTGCCTTTCACTTGAATCTGAATCTGTATTTTGTGGACGACTTTAACCTGGAATGAAACATCACAGCAGCTGTTGACTTTACTGTGATTTTCTGGAGCTCTTTGATGATGCAGCAGATGGAAGAGGATCCACACGCGGAAAAACTCCAAAGTCTGCTGGGGAAACGGGAAACATCAAAGAAATGTTGATGATTTCGGGATCCACCCAACAGTTCAGGTTACTGATATAAAAATCTGAAGGTAGAAGCTCTGCTGAGATTAGTTGCTGAAGATTTTCTCTCCAGGACGACTGAACCTGAACTCTGAAAACAGCTTTCAAGTTCATAGAAATTCAACAGTTCCTTCAAACAGTGAACCGACACAGCAGAAACTCATGAACCACTTTGGAGTCAGCATGAAGGAGCTCAACCCTTAACCCTAACTTAAACAGCAGGGGTGTCACTAGAAGGGTCCAGAGGGGGGCACCAAAGACAGAAGCTAATACTTTATTATGTTTGCTGTTTTGAGTTTTGCCAGAAACAATAAACACAAACTGCAGATGAGTTCTGAGAGACCGGTGCTGGTTTAACCCCACAAGGTAATCTAGCTGTTTGTGGAACATAAATGAGTGAAACTGAGTTAGATTATTACAGAATCTTTAAAAATGTAAATCAAAAAAGCATTATCTGACTGAGGAACTGTTTAACTCCTCCTTGAACCGCCACCTTATCGTGGTGGAGGAGTTTGAGTACCCTAATGATCCTAGGAGCTATGTTACTTTGTGCCCCTGGTAAGGTCTACCATGACAAATTGGTCTTAGGTGAAGGGTGAGACAAAGAACGGTTCAGAGGATCTTTCATGGATGTACAATCAAAGAGTCAGAGTACCCGGCCCGGAGGGTTATCGGGGTCCCACCCTGGAGCCAGGCCTGGGGTTGGGGCCCGTGAGCGAGTGCCTGGTGGCCGGGCTTTTGCCCATGGGGCCCGGCCAGGCCCAGCCTGAACTGGATACATGGGCTCATCCAACTGTGGACCCACCACCCGCAGGAGGAACATGAAGGGTCCGGTGCAATGCGGATCGGGTGGCAGACCGAGGCGGGAGCCTTGGCGGTCCGATCCCCGGACAACAAAACTGGTTTTTGGGACATGAAACGTCACCTTGCTGGTGGGAAAGGAGCAGGAGCTTGTGGCAGAGGTTGAACGATACCGGCTAGATATAGTCAGACTCACCTTGACACATAGCATTGGCTCTGGAACCCAAGTCCTTGAGAGGGGTTGGACACGCTCCTTTGCTGGACTTGCTCCGGGTGAGAGGCGGAGGGCTGGGGTTGGCTTTTTGTTAGCCCCAAGACTCTCTGCCTGTGTGTTGGGGTTTACCCCGGGGGACGAGAGGGTAGCTTCCCTGCACCTTCGGGTCGTGGAACGGGTCCTGACTGTTGTTTGTGCTTATGGGCCAAATATCAGTTCAGAGTACCCACCCTTTTTGGAGTCCTTGGGACAGGTGCTAGATAGTCCTCCATCAGGGGACTCCATTGTCCTGCTGGGGGACTTCAATGCTCACGTGGGCAATGACAGCATGACCTGGAGGGGTGTGATCGGGAGGAACGGCCCGCACTCTGAATTCGAGTGGTGTTTCGTTATTGGACTTCTGTGCAAGCCACAGTTTTGGCCATAACAAACACCATGTTCGAACATAAGGATGCCCATTGATACACTTGGTACCAGGGCAGCCTAGGTCGCAGGTCGATGATAGACTTTGTAGTCGTATCATCTGACCTGCGGCCGTATGTTTTGGACACCCGAGTGAAGAGAGGAGCAGATCTGTCAACTAATCACCACCTGGTGGTGAGTTGGATCAGATGGCAGAGGAAGATGCCGCGTAGACCTGGCAGACCCAAACGCATAGTTAGGGTCTGCTGGGAACACCTGGCAGAAGCACCTGTCAAGATGGTCTTCAACTCCTACATCCGGCAGAGCTTTGACCGCGTCCCGAGAGCAGTGGGGGGCATCGACTCCGAGTGGGCCTTGTTCCACTCTGCGATTGTTGAGGCGGCTGTTGCTAGTTGTGGTCGCAAGGTGGCCGGTGCCAGTCGTGGTGGCAACCCCCATACCCACTGGTGGACACCATAGATTCAGGGAGCCGTCAGGATGAAGAAGGAGGCCTACAAGGTGTGGCTGGTCTGTGGGTCTCCGGAGGCAGCAGACAGGTACCGGATAACCAAGCGGGGTGCAGCAGTGGCAGTTGCCGAGGTAAAATCTCAGGCATGGGAGGAGTTTGGTGAGACCATGGAGAAAGACTATCGATCGGCTCCAAAGAGGTTCTGGCAAACTGTCCGGCGCCTCAGGACAGGAAGGCAGCAACTCGCTCACACTGTTTGCAGTGGGGATGGGGAGCTGCTGACGTAAACTGGGGCTATAGTCGAACGGTGGAAGGAATACTTTGAGGAGCTCCTCAATCCCACCTACGCGCATTCCGAGAAGGAACCAGAGCTGGGAGACCTGGGGATGGACTCTCCAATCTCGGGGGCAGAAGTTGCTGAGGTAGTCAAACAACTACACAGCTACAGAGCCCCGGGGGCAGATGAGATTCATCCTGGGTATCTCAAGGCTATGGATGTTGTAGGGCTGTCGTGGTTGACACGTCTCTGCAACATTGCATGGTCATTGGGGGCAGTTCCTGTGGAGTGGCAGACCGAGGTGGTGGCCCCCATCTTTAAGAAGGGTGACCTGAGGGTGTGTTCTAACTATAGGGGGATCACACTCCTCAGC